CCCGGCCTAGCCGCCCCCGCCCCGCGGCCGCCGGCGCTGCCTTCCTTCTCCTCCCCAAGTTCGTTACCTCTTCGGCGCCGGTGGCTGCTCCATGGCGGCCGGCGGCAGAGAGAGGGACCGGGTGAACCGCGAAAGCCTGAGGGAAACCGGGAACAGGGCACTGGGGAACTACAGAGGGAAACTGGAAACTCGGACCAACTTTCCCGTAACTCCACAACGGATCTCCCTCCCGCCCCGGAGCACGGCCCCTCCCTCCCGTCCACTTCCCTCCTCTCTCCTCCCCGTCCTCCCCACCCTCCCCGCCCCGCCCCGCCCCACCCCGCCCTTCGGCCAGCCGCAGCAGCCCAATAGAAGGTGGGCGGAGCAGCTGAAGCCTAGGGTGGGGGCGGGGCCATGATGGGGGCGTGGTCTTCGGCGCGAGCTCAATCAGAGTGAGCCGAGAGGCATCCTCCAGGGGTGGGCGGGGCCTGCCGCGGCTCTGGGTGGGGGCGGGGCCACGCGAGGGGCGGAGTGGACGGAGACAGAGGCCGGCTTAGCCAGAAGAGTTGGGAGAAAGAAGACCGTGCTGGAAGAATCCAGAGGTGAGGCCTAACCATTGTCCATCTTGAGGAGGTGGCTCTGGTCCCGCCCTCCACTTCTCAGTCGCCTTCTCCAGGCTTGCCTTAGTCCCACTGTAGTCATTTCTCTGGATTTCTCAACAGTACATCCCAAACATTTTGTGAAGCCGTCTGAAGTATAACTGCCCACGCTTCCCTCTCTTGTTCTGCTTTTAATTATTGGCTATGTTTTCTCCCAGCCATTTGACATTTGTAGCCACAGTAGTGGGGATACTTCTGGAAATTCTGGTTTGATTTTGATTGAGGACAAGCAACTTACTATCACAATAATTACATCTAATTACAGAGGAAATAGCTACTTTAGTCATCATTGTGTGCTGGGGTCTTCTTGTTGGGTATCCAGTGCCCTAACCTAGCAAAGCTATCACAAATTATGGTGCTGGGTAAAGTACTCAAGAAAACTTTCCTCTCCAGTCCTCTCCTCCCAACCATTCTCAGCCCTACCCTTCCCATGCAACCACTTATATGTAGGCATCTCTTTCTTACCATTGTATACAGCTGCCATATGAGTTTGCTTGTTTTCATTAGGTTTTCTTAAAGCTTAGAACAATGAATATAAAAAAAAAACATGGTGAATAATATGAATAGTAACACAAATTAAGCTTGCTTATTATACAAGTATAATTCAGTCTCCCTTTTGCATTATGTGATAAAGCAATTCCACCCTAGATTTAGTTATTTTAAGTTAGTTAAGACCATTCAATTTAAAGAGAGATAACTACAAAACTTTATACTGGTTTGCACATCTGTACCTAAATGCTCAGAAGATACAGAACAGGGAAAAAAAAGATTAAAATGTCAAAGCTGGAAAGAATCTACAAAAATATCTCACCTACAACTCATTCTCATCCTCATTTCCCATGCCCTCATCTTTTGGTGTTACATCAAAAAGAAATCTTGAGTTCGTTTCATTTTTTTAATCTACTATACTAAAAATATAACAAATTACTAAATTTACTAAAATAATAATTTGCCATCCTTAGGCTTTTATTGTCCTATTAATTTAATCTCCAGGAAACCTTTCCCAATCAAACCATGAGCATTATCACCTGCTAGATTCTACATTTAAGTTGTAAAAGAGATACCTATCTCATAAGCACTCAGTGCTTATGCATGACATTTGCCACACTGTGTAGAAATTCCATTTATCAGTCAAATATGAGTCAACTGAGAGCCAAGCCATATCCTCTCTCCTCTCCCTCCCTCCCTCCCCCTCTCTCTTCTTCTCCCCCCCTCCCTTTCTCCTTCTCTCACCCCCTCCCCTCTCTCCCTTGCATAATGAGTGCCTGACACCTACACCTAGTTAGGTGTCAGGGGGAGCTGGGGAGCTCCCTCAGGTTCCTTTCCATCATTTGCTGCCTGTTCTTTATACTGAGAGCTAACCTCAGTGGCTGATATCAGTGGCTGAGTTCTCCAGCCATCTGGATTAATGCTTGCCTCTGATGATAGAAGACCAAGCAAGAGGTCATTATGAGAGGAGAAAGTTACTATATTTATTTCTTCCCCTAGTTCTCTTCTTATGAGGTCACCCATATGCACTTCTTTGCAAACAGATTATCCAATTCTCTTTCTTTCCGAACTTGCCTCTCTGGGTCTAGAAGTCCTGACTGTTCTGCTTGCTATGCTGTGGGTTCCTTTCTTCTCTCTTGTATTCCTTTAGACCTCAGTCCCACTCAGCTGACCTTATTGTAAAAATTCTGTCCTAACATTTTTTTATTGAACCTCTAATATACCCATTTACAAAAAGGTTTTGTAAAGAAGAGGGAAAAATGTGAAAAACAAATCTCTGAGGTTTCTCTCAATTGGAAAAGCAGAGGGCTAATAATTATTGTGTGACTTTCAAGAGGATGAAATACTTGACCAACATTATCTCACTGAACCTTGCAAGGTAGCTCTCATTTCTAATTTATTGGTGAGAAAACTAGGTTCATCAGGGTGAAAGGAACTACCCTAGGCCACACAAAAAGGGTTTATAGTCTAAGCCAGGTCTTTATGACCCCAAACCCCTGCCTCATTTCACTGTAAGTTGGTCAATAAGTATTCACTGCACATCTAATTATGCTAAGTATAGGGGATTTTATCAGTGAATAGGGAAGTTAAGAAGAAAAAAATAGAACTTGTAACCAGAATACCTAGCTGATAATGTAAGATATTGAAAACTGGTAAAGAAAGATTGAATTAGGACAGGAAAATAAAGTGGAGGGGAGAAAATGAAATTTAGAAAAGATAGCCAGGGCAAGCTTTAATGAGACAGTGACTGAGGAGAGGGAATAAATACAGGCAAGTAGCTGAAGGAAGAAAATGTGAAACCAAGGAAATAAGGAAGGCCCAGGAGGCCCAGAATCAGGTGTGTTCCTGGTGTGTTATCACTGAATAAAAGTTGCTTTTCCTTTGAAATATTCGGAAGAGGAAAAAAAATTCCAAACTTCTGTTTTGTCTGTAGAAAGCCAGCCTGAGATTCCAAGAAAAGCGTGGAAATCATCATTCAACCTGCAAATAAGAGGCCACAGCATTCATAAACAAATGGAAGCTGTAGACAAATTTGAGATACAGATCAGGGTCGCTCAACTTCACTTAACTGTGAAAGAAAGGTAATGTGTTTCCAACAGTTCCAGCTGAATAGAATTCTCAGTCCAGTGCTGCCTTAGCTTCGCAGCACTCTAACGAATACCTGAGTTAATCAACTTATAAAGAGAAAAGGTTTATTTTGGCTCACAGTTATAGAGATTTCAGTCTCTGAAAGCAACAGCTGGTTCTGTTGCTTTTGGCCTATGGTCACACATCATGGTGGGAATGCTAGGCAGAGTAAAACCATTTACTTCATGGCCAAGGAGTGAAAGAAAAAGAAGCATCTGAGATCTCATGTTCCTTTAAAGACCAAATGACCTACCATCACCTTCTGAAAGTGACATAGACTTTGGGACCAAGACTTTAACCAAGACTTTGGTGGACATTTATTCTAAGCTATCACACATGCTAAGAGAAATGTGAGAGAAATAATGCAATTTGGGATATGGTAAGAAGAATCATATCCATTGTAATTGAATATATGCAACATCAAGCCTTTGTAAGAGAATATTAAGATAAAATGTTTTCTGTTTCTTGAATCTACAATTTTCTTATTCACATTTTTGAAATATAACATTAATCAACAAATGATAATAATTTTCTACTATTACTGGCAATAGTTTGGGGCAGAGATATAACTCAGATCGAGGATGGGTCTGGTGGTTCATGCCTATATTTGTGGCTACTAGGAGGTAGAGATTAGAAGGATCTCACTTCCAGGCTATCACATACAAAAAGTTTATGAGACCTCTATCTCAGCCAATAATAAGCTAGGTACTGTGGTGTGGATATGTCCTACTAACTAAGCAGGAAGCATATATTGATAGATCACAGGCCAGGCCAGCCTGGGCATAAATGCAAGAAATAATAGGAAAAAATACCTAGCGTAAAAAGAACAGGGAATATGGCTCAAGTAATAGAGCATATGCCTAGCAAGCACAAAGCTGAGTTAAAACTCTAGAAACACACACATATACACCCAAAATAAGAAAAAAAAATGATCAAATGTATGCCATTTATTATGTAATTTTTTACTTACTGAAAAATTTGGGAATATTTCTTTTGCAAAGACAACTTTATAAAAAAATTCTCAATCTGCTTCTCTTTTTCTATCTCAGTTTTAGAGTTAGCTTAAACCTTTCTTGGTGCATCTGAATTCAACCACTAACCTCTTTGATCAAAGCAATCTTACACTTTTGTTTCATTTTTTCTCTGAGCAGACTCTGAGTCTCTTGGGAACAAAGATAGTATCTTATTTATATGTGTCATCCCAACAGTCTGCCATATCAGTTTACTACAAGTAGCAATTTAAAGTTATTTTTAAAACAAGAAACTTAATATGTTTTTAGGTTTGAATGATTCTTTCATTTCTTGTAATGTCCTGTTGTGCTGTACTGCAGCAGGGTTTTCAAATTATCTTCTTCCTCTCGAAGGCCCAAAATGACCACCAGTATTTCAGTTATCAAATTAAAGTCTGACAATATCCAGTAAGAAAATTCCTTGCGAATAACTTTTTTTTTTTTTGTGAATAACATTTTTTAAGACGATGGAAAAACCTACCCTGTAAGTCTTCCTGCATTCCCACTAATGTCCAATTGGCCAGAATGATGTGACAGACCCATGGTGGGCAAGGAAAAGGGATCACCAAAGCCTCTTTAGGTCAGTTGAAATTCTGGCCATACAGCTAGGCTGGGGTCAACCTTCCCTGACAACTACAGCAAGGAGAAACACAAAACTGGGATTTTATTTTATTTTATTTATTTTTATTTTTATTTTTTTGCCAATCCTGGAGCTTGAATTTAGGGCTTGGATTCTGTCTTTTAGCTTTTTTGCTCGCTTTTTTGCTCACCGTTAGTATTCTTCCAGTAGAGACACTGGCTTCTTGATGAGTAATTGGAGATAAGAATGGAGATAAGCAGGACTCTCCTGCTTAGGACAGCTTTGAAGCTCTATCCTCAGATCTCTGCCTCCTGAGTAGCTAGGATTACAGGTACCAGTACCTCTTAGGGATTCTATTTTTAAGAAAGAGTGGGGACAGTTCTTATTA